TGTCTTCGGAAAAAGCCAGATTTGACGGGAAAAAAGCTGAATTGGCAGCAGTGCAAAGCACACACACGCAAGCTACATATACAAACACAAAGTAAAGCAAAGCAACGGCAAAGCCAGCAAAACAAAACTCGGAGACCCGCTGCCGAGTCGCAGTCAGTCGTTATCGGAACTTGCTGCCGCTGTCATGTCCGAGACGTAGACGCGCACGGTTCGTTTTCTGCTGCTGGTGGGTTTTTTTGTCTGCCTTGGGTCTGTGCTGTGCTGGTCAGGTCGGGTCTGGTCTGGTCTGGTCTGCTTGCGTGTGCTTATTTGTGTGCCTTACCTTACCTCTTTTCGTTTACTGTTCGTGCGCGCGCTCTCGCCCTCACTCTCTCTCTCTCTCTCTCTGTCGCTCTCATCTACTTACATCTCCCACGCGCGCTCTCTTGACATCGTATTTTATAGTTGGTTATTTTGTTTGTAGTGTCTACGGAAAATTTACTAAAATAACAAACAAATACCAACGTCTAATTCTGTGCAGTGCATTTATATTTAAGAAGAAAACAAAATATCTATATGAAATTTAATTGCCTCTATTCAGTGGGATTGTTGTGCAAATGCAAATAAATTCTATCAGCTACACGCCGAGGCAAACAAAGTCGAATCATCAATTTCTACAGAGAAATCAAATTTCTGTTCTGTGCACCTCAAGTTCACGGCTTTTGCTGCTGCTGCTGCTGGTGTTGTTATTGTTATTGTTGCTGTTCGTTCGAGTTGTCAAAACAACATTTTTGCGTTTGTACTTGCGCAAAGTGAAATTATGCGACGCAGTGAAATTGTTGATGAGGAAAAAGGCCCGGCAGAAAATCAATTTATATCTAGCCACACAATATGGAATCGAGCCAACTCTGGTACCTGTCTGCCGGTATTTCGGCGCTTTCAGCTCCTTATCATTGTATCTTATCGTGCGTTGTTTGACAGCGTGCTAAGCATGAGCATGAATGAATGAATGAATGCCTCTACATATGTACATCCAGTGGTAGGTACTCTGCCTAGGTATGTACATGTGTCGCCCGGCTGTTGAACAAGCTGCTGTTGTTGTGCTGATTGCATACTTGTTCAATTTGTATACACATCAAATTGTCTCTCTGAGCACTCGCTGATAACAGCGCAGGCAGCTAGGCATTTCGTGAATCTCGTTTAAATTTCCACAGTCTTATCTGTCATGACCGACCTACGACCTGGCACCGGTCACTGGCGAAATTCAAACAACATTGTCTCATTCTCTCCCCGTCCCCCCATCCTGCTCCATCTCTTTTTATATACTACATACATATATGACAGATCAGATAGACATCCGTTTTCAGTGTCGTCGCGCCGTTTAGCTAATCATCTGGCAAAATGTCTTCATTTAGCTGAGATCGTGTGCGAGCGTAAAGTCATAATCGCATGCAAATCGCCGCAGAAAACAAACGCGAGTGCATAAATAAATAATAATTGCATATGTATATACGTATTTATATATGTGTTTTTAATTGCATTTAATTGAAAGCGGAAATTCACACATACAGTTATATCAATGCACAACAATAAGAGATTGTTGCAATAAAAAAGGAGAAGAAAAATAATAAGTATAATAAGAAAAATATATATAGTATATATAGAAATATCCACGGCGCTAAAGTGAAACAAATAAAACAGAAATCAAGCAACAAGGCGCACATTATAATCACTGCTGAAATCCATATCGAGTGGTAAGTTTAATCACTAATTAGCTAATTAACTACTTATTTTGTAGCCGTCGGTGTGCTGCCCCTTGTTGATTTCAGGAAATTAATTCCCACCGCCCACGCACACACACAAACACACACATAAACATTGCGCCACAGCTAGAAAATCAATAAATGTAGATATTCGACGACGTAGAACAGGGACTACCACCCCCACCCTCCATGCTCCCACCTGCCCCATCTGCAGTCCTGACGACGCTTTTCATTAGCAACAGCTGATTGCACAAGTTTGCTGACAAAATGACCTCCCACCTTTGATCAATATGAGCGCGCGCCCCCCCCAGGCGTTAAGCGTCTAACCTTGGCGCGCCTTAGCTTAGAGGTGTGGCAGACGTTGTGGGCGTGCTTGCTGTTGTTGCTGCTGCTGCTGCTGCTGCTGCTTGGCTTGCTCTGCTCTGGCGCCTTATTAGTCGCTCCCCAGACGACGCGACGCTAGCTTGACACACATGACTTACTTTCGCTGCCAGCCCGATGCAGTCCCTTTCATTCTTTCATTTTTTTTTTCTTTTTCGCGGCTGTTTCTCTTCCTTGGCCACTCGAGTGCTCCGCCCATTTGATGTTCTGCTATCTCGCGCTGACTTGAGTGGGCAGCACTCGGGTCTCAAGTGCCGCATTTGCTACTTCATCATGTCAATCAATGCTGCAACGCTTGGCCCGTTTGTCTCTGGCTGTCACAGCTCGCTTGTCTAATCAGGCCAACATTTAACAACAAACCCACACCAGCCATATCAATATTAATGAGAGCTTGGCTTGTTTTGACGTTGGCAGCGCCTGCGCCTCGGCAGAGTCCTGCTCTGCTCTCTTCCGTCTGTCGCTCCCAGCAGAGCTCTCTCCTTGGCCACCACGTGATTTTCACATGTTCTCAGTCAGACTCAGTCAGCTGCACTTTGACTTTCCCTATTTCACCCCAGGGCACACATATGAAAAGCTGAATCAGAGCTTCTGCAGCGAAATGCATTGACTGCGAGCTTCTGTCAGTGCATCTCAAGTGGATGCGTGCGGATGCAGCGAACACTTGTTGATGTCATTTTACCCAAGATTTATTTTCATAAAAGAATTATCATAGACATACGTACGTATACACACACACAGCAACTATAAATCACAGCGCCAAATCGCCGCTAATTTTAGCATATATTTATGTATGTATATATGTTTGCTTACCTCCGGCCATTTGGTTTTAGCCAGGTGCACTTTCACTCAGCTCGCTCGCATTCTAAAGTGAAAGGAGCTACTCATACATAGGTAAGCCGATCCGTCCGTCTGTCTGTCTGTGCTTTCTAAATGACGACGGCCTCTTACTCTTGGGCCGGCCACAAAGTCGTGGCCATTGCGAGTGCCATTCAGAGAAGAGTTTATCGCGCATCTTTTACGACTACGCAGCGCCTCCCACATCATCGATGCCCAGAGGCTGACCAGTAACATTCTATTTCAATTAGTGTAACTGACCTATGCCATTTGCCGGGGCCCCAACATTAATCAGCACGTTTTCAGCACATTGCTGTGTGTGTGTGTGTGTGCATTGGCCTTTGTTTATGCCCACAAAAACTGGACGAGCGAACACGGCCAATTCATGGCAGCAGCAGTACCGAGCCAGTCAGTAAACAATCGAATAGCTACTATATATTTGGCTTAGCCAACTTGTCGACATTCACAACAACAACAATATGCAATATACAACTATTGCTCGATTTTTGTTTGTAAAAACTTTTCTTGTTGTTGTCTGCTATCGATTTTCGAATTTTTATTTTTTGTTTATTAATTATGTTTATCAAACGACGGGTTATGTATACGTATGATAGAACATGTATACGCCTCTAGAACATCTAGAGTAATATTCTTAATACCAATGGGCGTTCTGGCACCTTATCTAATCTGCAACATAGATAGTATTAGTTTTTAGTTATTGATAATATATATAGTGCCATGGAGCACTAAATGTCGTACACCAAAATTAGTGATAAACACAATATTTTGAAAACAATTTGCGTGGAGTATTGGGCGAGAGATATTATTAGATATATTTGATTATTAGATATATTAGTTTTGCTATTTATAGGGAATTTCCTTACTGGCGTATGAGAGTCCAGTCTTTCATTGCGCTGCAACAGTTGATTGCTTAATCTAAATTTAATATATACAAATTGCACTAATTTAACAGTTAATAAATAAAAATGTAACTACGACTCTAGCTGTAAATATGAGTATTACTAAATAGAAGAGTCGGAACCTGGCAATTTGCAATCACGCAACGCATGCATCATCTTTCGCAGAGCTCATTGAATGTGTCTGTAACTGCCGCCGATTTCCATTGCATCAATCATCTTTAATGCACTTTGCGGCAATTTGATTGCATTATTTTTGACGAGTTGCCCGCTAGGTTGATATATATATATATGTATATACATATGCATATTTTTATATATTCATCAAAAAGCAGCAGCAGCTGAAACCTGTACGAGGCGAGTAATAAACACACAATCATTTGCACGCGGGCATCATATACATTTGACATTGATGTTTAATACCTGCCACGACTACGACTGGCGGCTGTCACAATCGGCTGAAGGCCCTCGTTTACCGTTAACTGGCTAATACCCAAACCCGCCATAACTCTCTGCATACACGTCGCATATACAAGTCGATTTCTTGTTGTTGCTTCTCTTCGATTAACCGTTGTTTAAAATGCAACTACGCAGAATGAATATGATTTGAGCATGCGGCGAATATAAATAAATAATTCGTTAAGTATTTATTTTGCTTTGTTTCTTTTAATCTTTTCTCTTAGTCAGCCCCACTCGGATTACACCTAAAAGCAATTTTCGTCAATAATTTGCAATTTATCAGAAATTTCTGTTAATTTTGTATTCTGCAGCTGTTTAAAAGAGCTTTATTGTTTTTTTTTTTATGGCACACGAGCTTTCATAAAAGCACCGTGAGCCGGTTTCGTTTAGTTGCCAGGATTTCGCATAGATGGCGCTGTGTGCTGGGGAGCTTTGGCAGGCTTTGACTGATGTAGGTGAAAGCTTCGCTTAAGCAGCTAACCTGTTGCACTGGGCCAGCTTTCTTAATATCGTGTATATGACATCAGCGCTGCACTTTCTTATCAGCGACACAGCTGGCTGATTAGACTGATAAGCGAGGCATGAATTCCGGAGTATATGCTCCCATTGCAATTGCATTTGAAAAAGGGAAAATCTTATCGTGTAATGTTCATAAGCACTTCACTACATACAGAATCGTGTACACATGTAGTTGATGTACTCGAGACATCGCGTGGGCTGTGAACGTGCGCGCTAACAACAATAAATGAAATGAAAAAAAAAAATCTATAATAGAAAAAAAGAAATACAACAATAATAATAATAACTCAACACAAAGCAACTGCAAGATAAAACAAAAAGGAACAACAACAACATCCACGACGAACCGACGTTTGGCATTATAATGAATCGACTGCAATGTGAGCAAATGTCACGTTTATGTAAGCGCAGCAGCCCGAGTTCGGCTGGCGTTTGTTTTGGAAATTGAAATAGTCTCGTATTAGCCGCGAATCTCTCATAAACAATAGAAATAAAAGGCAAATAGCAATCGCCAATTGTCGATGTTAAAAAAATGCGCACAAATTTGGTTTTACCGTGCAGCAGCAGGAAATTAAATATTGCAAGCGATACGAAGGTGGTGGGGAGTCGACGAGCGTACCCAAAAATAAATGACGTGACATCAGAAAACAATATACGATATACAATATAAACACTATACACACATTATACAAAACACACACAAAATGTAAACTACACAGAAACGTGCGAGTCTGTATTTTGCATGAAATTTAAATGATTGAGCTAGCAGGAGATGGATAGATAGGTAGATAGATGGGTAGATAGATATACATATATCATGTATTGGAGTTTCAATAAAAACATATATATATATATACATATATGTATATATATTTGGGGCATTTAGATAGCCAAAACATATATATATATATATATTTTAATTTCAATTTGAATATTGTTTTGTATCTTGTTTTTTATATTATTTTATAATTTGCTATTGTAATTGCTTTTTAGTTTGTTTCTCGTTTGCAGTTGGTATTTAGCGGCTTTTACTAGAGTATTGGATGTCGTAAAACTAGATTTGTTTGGTTGTGTAATTGCAAATTGTGGCCAAGGTGAGGGAATATTTCAATATTAAGCGGAGCATCAAATGAGGCATTCCGATGCGTATATCCACTCGAGACAAATAGTTTAGGGCGGTAGCATTAAGATTGTATTGATATGATTGTTGATTGTTTGTTTATTACGTGTCCGACCCAGGGTACGTCGGATAGCTTTGTTTGAGCAATGTTGCCCATGTTGCCCACTCAGACTCGCCTGAGGAAGGTGGTTTGTGTGGTTAAATGGCATACTGATGCGATGACGTAGAATTGATGTTTATATCTGCAAATCGAGGTCAGTTAAGTAGTGCCGCTTAACTGAATAGGTCGGACAATTTTCGAAAGTTTTGAAAAATTATATCTCTTCAGCAAACATTCCGACATGAATGAAATCAATGTTGTTCTTTGAAGAAGAGTTAATCAGTGATGACAAAGACAAGTTTTTGGCCAAACGACAACGAATGCGATTTTATACCCTTAATCCATTAAAAATGGGAAATCAGGGTATAATGGATTCATTAAAATGTATGTAACAGGCTATCAATAGTCTTATCCTTATTAATATCAAGTATACGCCTTGATAGGATAGAAGAAGAAGATAGATTATAGAAATATAAATATATAGGCAGTATAAATATTTTCTTCTATATTAAGTACTATAAGAATGAACGAGTTATATAAAATTGATCGAGCTCAATAAGTGATGAGTGGTAGCTGTCATCAACATTATTTAATTAGGCATTCGAACGAATTCTCTTCTTTAAAGAAGGTCATTTTTTATATGATAAAATGTAATATTTATTGTGAAGTTGTGTCTGGTAATCGATGAAGAATCTCGTTGGTATTCCTTCAAGAAACCGGTTGAGCGTTAAACTGCTTTTACAAATCTCCAAATGTATACAGAAAACAATCAGCTCTGGCGTTCTACATAAATTTGCATATTTTTTTGAGAGAGACTACGGCCATCTACTGAGATGCCAGCCAAGTTTTAGTTACTGTTGCAGACTGTTGCGTTCGCCGCAGCTGACATGAAAAAAGAACAGAAAAAAAGAGAGAAAAACAACAACAACAAAAAATGTAAAAGAAAGAAAAAAAGAAAAACATGAAAACATCGAGAAAAAACAGCCAAAAAGTGTGTCAATGAAATTTCGAGCACTAAATTGCAATGGTCGCACTGCTGCTGTTTGCTGCCCGTCTTCGTTTGGCTTCGTAGCCAACTTTTTGATACCCTTCCAAGGCGAGACGTCAGCTTGGACATGGTTCATATTTTTAATTATAGCCGCCAGCGATTGTTATTATCAATGTTATTCTCTTTTATATTATATTCCCTTAGCTTTCATTTGACGCTCTGAGCTATAGCCAAGAGCAATCGTTCAGATCAGCATCTAACTAGAGCACAATTAGTTGTGTTTAGAGCTCAAACCTTCTATTTATTTTGCTTCTTCTTCATTCATTCATCGTGTGAATCACAAACTTGTTTATGCTTGTAGGCTGCTCAGTTGACCTCACTCGATGGACTTGCGCACTCGTATATATGTATGTATATATGTCTGTATTTATTCATAAACAATTAACTTGTAGCATTTGGATTGGAGCCAGAGTCGATTGGGCTGGAAAACTAGTTAGACTAGTCGTCATCGTCCACAACATCGTCATCGTCATTATTTTATTGAACGTCGCACGCCCCAAAGACTCAGCGTGTATTCTCTGGTATTAAGTAACTAATTTATTTAATATTTAATTAGTATGCAAAGCAACGCAGCGCGCTTTAGAGACCAGGAAGCCGCAGCACATGCCAACCTGCTGGGGTGTTTAGCGCTTCAAGCACCTCGCGACTGTTTGGTATTCTTTGGCTGTTGGCTTGTTACATTTTGTTGTTGTTGCTGTTGTTGTTGTCTCATAGCGCATTTGGCGTTAACTTTGATTGCGATTGCCTTTCCCTTAGCTTTTTAATGATGATACTGTGCGCATAAGCTGCACAGTGGTAAATATTTCCGTTGCATTTTACGATGCGATTTGAATCGGACATTGCTCCCATTAAATTATGCCCTCTCACATGCCCTCTCGCATGGCTAACTGCATAAACCGTTAGGCGCTCCAGCCAACGCCGGCCGGCCAAGTACAGCTTGGCCCTGTTGCGAGTGCGTGAATCAACATCATTATCAGCATCATCATCGTCATCATCAATAGAATATAAATTCTCGTACATCATTGCAGCAAAGGGAAGAGAAAATTCAAGCTGCTCTGGTTTGTATTTGTGTGGCTGGCATTAAACTGCATGATTAATCACAAATATCATTGGAATTGTCACAGACAAAATGTGAAAATCATCGAGTCAATTGTTGATTTAGTCGCTCGCTTAAAGGTTTCTCTCTCTCTCTATCTGTCACTCTCTCTCTGTCACTCTCTCCGGCCTGGGCTGGCTAATGAAGCGCATTTGAGCTGTGTTCTAGCTGTGTCACTGACACACAGAAGCGAGCGACAACTTGGACAAATATCAACACAAAACTCAAACACAAATAATCACATACATTTACCGACACACACACACACAGACAGATGGCAGACGTCTGACGGCAGCTGGCTGAGAGAAGTTTCTGGCTATGTGCTGGGTCTGGTCGGAAAGGTTAATGAGTTATTAAACTTGGCCCGCACGCTTTGCTTAGTGAATATGATACGCATTATTAAGATCTGCTTTATGTGGTGCGTGTGTGTGTGCCTGCAATTTTCATCTGGCAGAAATAATTTAGTCTTAGTTATCCCTTGGAGATTCGCAGATATGAATACAATTTTCTTTTTTTATTTCAGCTTTTATTTATTTTCTCTACTTCTGTTGCTTTTGTTACGCTTTCCAGAACATGACTTGTGTATTTTCGGCCTGGCTTTCATTTTTGTTGGGGGGGCGGGGCAAAGATGCTCTTAGAATTTCACGCCAGCTTTCTGCGTGGCATAAAGACATCACGAGGCAGAACTACTATAATGGCATTTACTTTAAAGAGCGCAGCCAGAAAAGTCTCAATCTCGGCGACGGCCAGCAACGACCCAGAAACTGTGTCAAACATTTTACAAAAGTGCAAAATGCTTATAAACAGAACAATGCCAAATGGGGGCCATCAAACGGGGCAGCATTTAGGCGGCTTAAGCTGAAAATACAAAGCGTAACTGTTTTTTATACTACTTTTTTTTTCGTGTTGTTATTTTGGTTTATTTCGGGGCAAGTTTTCTACTCAAGGCAGGTGAGAGAGACGGAGAGAGAGAGAGAGAGAGAGCGAGTAAGAACTGCGTAATTAAATCTTATTTATATATATGTGCAGAGAATACTGGATACAACACACAACGCCATCAAATTGTTGCGCTGTGTCTTGCAACAGCAGCAAGCTTAACTACAGCACCGGCCATGCTTGAGTTGGTTGCCAAAGCTCGGCGCTTACGGTTCTTTTTTCGTTATTTTTTTGGGGGGGAGGGGAGTCAAACATTTTGGATGGATACTTGCTGCTCGAAAAAGGTAGCAGACGAACCGCAACGGCCCAAGCCCAAGACCAAACGAGAGCCGGAGCCCAACCTTAAAACTACTCGCTTACCGCCAGTTGACAGTTGCAGCCGGCAGTGGGTGTGGCTGGAGCCCCGCCCCTCATATCTAAATATGTCGCAATATGAACACTCTTCGCCTGCGGCTTTCGCTCTGAACCTTTTGTACCACTTCTGGCCACATTTAATTTGAGTTTCCGAGCCGGCCAACTGTCCAGTCCTGACCAGGCTCTGTCGACTGATTGACATCGGCTTGGCTTTTTTCTTTCGTGTGTTGGCTCTCAATGAAATCCATTTGCGCGCAGTGCAGTTAAATGGAAATGCAATGCTGCGTCGTCTGTTTTCAGCAGCAGCTGTCATCGAAATTGTTTGCTTTTCATCTATGGGTTACATTTAATTGCGCGTTGATGTCGCACTTTTGCAGCTCAATGCGAATTAAGCACGGCAAAGTGCTTGACAGCACAAGTTTCGGGCTGTGGCAGATGAAGATGGACGGCATTGAGCAATTCGCCAGCCAAACCATTCATTAAGCAAAAAAATAAAAAATAAAAAAAAGAGAAGTTGCTAGATTTTTGTTCAGTGTATTATTTGGTATTATTTCTAGCCATGGCCTAGAAGTGAATTTAATTGAATTTAATTGCATAGCCGAATTGTAAATTTGCATATTAGCGCAGGCATTAAAAGCCAGTTTTCTATATACATATATATCTGTATATAGTATATGTCTATTTAGACATCTTTGCATATATGTATCTTGCTAAAAATTTTTCCTTAGAAATTAGAGGCTTGACTTGGCGTTGTGTTGACAAATGAATTATGAGTGCCAAATTGTTGGGTTTCAGACACATTTTGTTTGTACTTTCATTCATAGTGTGGATATAAATATATCTGTGAAGTTGCCAAATTAGCACAATTAATTTGTTTGCCTTGCCAATTGGAAATATGAGAATTTCGGTCGTAAAAATAACCCTGAACTGTTTGCGTGAGTTGGCATTATGTAAGCGTTTGACCTTTGCAGCAGTGCACACTGACAATATAATATACAAATTAAATTTTCAATATATATGTACATGTATGTATATAGAGTTTGTATTATTGTATTGACGTTGAAGTTGCAAAATATTTGATCAAAGGAACAATTTATTGCATAACGCTATTATTGCGCATTTATCGACAGAACAGAAAATTTATAGGCATCAATATATGTA